TTTTTTTCTACCTGTTCAGTTTTCTTTATTATTTAATATCCATCAGTATCTGTGACTAAACTTGACTAAACGTCTAAATAAGGACTGGATTTACCAACTACAGTTTTTTAGTCTTCATTCTCTTTTCCCTCTGGGTCAGACTCTGGCTCCAACTTAAAAGGCTGAATGGACAAGTCTTCATCGTCGACATCTTTTAATTAAATTTGTAAATAAAAAGTCTGGAAGCTGGAGGGGGCGGGGTGTGAAGCGCCTCATTTTGATTGAAAGAGACAGCATCAAAGCGAGTTGATCTGAGACTCACCTCAAAAAAGGGGTGAAAGAGGGTCTTGTGGTGTTACAATAAGGAGGAATTCAGACCAAAAAACTGCAGTTCCACCTTATATAGACACCAAATAAATGATTTAAATGTGAAAAAGAAGGATTTAAAAGCATGACATGTCTCCTTTAACTGTACAAGTACACTTAAATACACTTAAATACTTAAGTACCGTCATGGAGCACTGGTTAACACCTGGAGTATTCAGTTGTGGGTTAAATCAAAAGTGAAAAGAAATCAAAAAAAATCTCTGAGGAGTAATTTTTGGGATATTCAAATTYAACAGATTTATAAAGGCAATTCCTAATTATTCGCAGTCCATCCCTTCACTGAGACAAAAAGGACACACAAGTAGAAAACCTTCAAGACAGCCGCTAATCCAACCAGGAGCGGAAATTTCAAGAATTTCTCCTCAAACTGAGACTGAGCATTGATCATGGGAATTGCAGGAAGGAAATAAAGGAAACCAACATGTCAGACTCTACAGATTGTAGTTACCATGATGAATGTTAAAAGTTCACGACTGTACAATCAAAGCTAAACAAGTCGGGTTTGTATGGAAGGGTGGCCAGGAAAATAAATCTCTTCACTAACAAGAATATGGCTGCACGGCTTAGATTTGCCAAGTTGCGTCTCAACAAATGACACGACTTTTGGAGAAGTGATCTTTGGAAAAATGAGACCAGACATAAGTTGTCTGGTCATAATGATTAGCACCGTACCAGATAAAAACCAAACAACATGAACTCCACGTTCATCTGTCTGACAGCTGAAACTTCACCAAAACTGAGAAACGCAATGGGACAATGGATGAGCCCAATGCAAGAAACTGACAACGGGATGGTTAAAAACAAAAAGAATCGAGGTGTGCCCTCTACCCAAATATTTTATTTTGGCAAAATCTTTATAAGTGTTTGGTATTAAACACTTGCAAACAGAAGAAAATGGGCAAAAATCCTTCCATTTAGGCTTGGATATGACCGTTAAACAGCGACASAATGTAAGGAATTATGTTTTGTATAATTTATATTTATTCAATTTAAAGACCTGTCAATGAGCAATGATTTTTAAAAATGCAACATTATGTAAAACCTTAGGCCTGAAAGAAGGTGTACCAACATTTTACCAGAATAATAAAACTTCAGGGATTGTTGTACTTGAATAAAAATAGCTTAAAATGGTATGGAAAATTAAAACATAACATATGAATTGACATCCTCATAATGCCTGTCTTTTTATGAGTGTGTGTTTTTGTGTGTCCAGCATGTGGTTACAGGTGGTCACTGTGTTCATCAGAACAGACGTCTGCTATAAGAAGACAGAGATTGCCTTTGGAATCTGCAAAAGAACAAGAAATAAACATTGAAAAGAAAAATGACTGCAAAGACCTCCTGGTGGACTGGCATTTCTCCTCATGATGGATGGACTTTTAAAAAAATCATAAAAAAATAAAATGCATGAGGTTTGGCCCCTTTTAATCTCCAACAACACATTTTTTAGAAAAATAAAATTGTCTGTCACATTCTAGCCTTCCTGGAAAAGCTCACTGATTGCAACAGACTTCTTATTAAAATAAATGAGGCCATGGAACTGGTAAGAATGTAGTCTGAACCTTGGGAGATGTTGAAGGGAAAAAATAAGACCTTGGGGAGAAAAGGAGGGAGAAAATTCAGTTTTCAGAGAAAAGAAATATAAAACTTTATTGATTGATAGTACTTGCTTTAACATCGACTTGGCTTCTTTTCTATTTTTGCATCTGTACTAATTTTACCACTCACATATTATAAAAGAGCTTTCATATTTAGGATTCAGTTTTTTTATTCCCATCATTACTAAATATAAAAGGAAAGAAAACATTTTATGAAGTACATGTTTATATAAAAATATATAATTTGAATTAGTACATTATTTAAGAAAATCTAAGCCAAGAAGGAGAAGCTGTGTGTAAACATATGTGTGTCTTTACTTCCTCTTACAGTAGCAGAAACATTGCCAAGTTTCTGCTGGAGCACCTTAAAAAGATCTTGAGTCATACTACAACATCCTATTACAACGACAAAAACAAGACTGAACATTTTGAAAACACAATAACTGGGGTTGAAATAATATTATTGTTATTTGTGTTAATTTTACAATTTAGAGAATTTATGGATGTAGCTGCATTTATCAAAGCTTTGATCAAACAGTGTTTGTTTAAAAAAAAAAAAAGAACCACGCCATGTAGGCAGTAAATCTGCCTAAAGTTCTGGCTGTCTGGGGGCTTTAACACAGCGGAAGCTGGAGAACACACAACAAAGAGCGACAGGAATATTCACTGAAGCCTCAGTTTGGGCTTCTAGCGCCCGTCAAAGCAATATCTGGAAACACTTTTTCTTCTGCAACAACAAAAACATGCAGCATCCCAGATTTCAGAACCAACATAGCAGCATCAAACCACATTAGCCACCATGGTCAGGCCTTAGAAAAGAGGTTTATGCAGAAATTCAGTTCAGGCTAAACGCACCAGCCCAGAGGACACATAGAGAACACAACTAACAGAGCGAGTCCAACCTTGGTCAAACATGAAGCCACTTCCAAACACTACAGATGACATCAGCTCTTCTTTAAATTGTTTTCTAGCATGAAAACATCTCTGGACTTGTAGGTGAAAAAYGGAGGATTCTAACAGAGAAAATGTTCAGAACGTTTTGGTTTTGATTTTTCTGTGGTCTTGTGGACAGTTCTGGCACTGGAGCAGAAGAAGAAGAGAGATTAAGTCGCCACACCTAGTGTTGATTACATCTTATTAAAAAGGAGGGTTTGAAATTAAATACTGTAATACCTGTAATACCTGTAATACTTGTTTATATACAAAAGGCCAACAGTTTGGACAAATAGATTCAAACTATTTTTTAAAAGAACATTGTGGTAATCTTTGAGCATGATTTTACAGTGGTAATAATGCGTTTGTTAGTCTGAGACAATTTCCAGTTTACAGCTTCAACATTTCACTGCAAAAACGACAGACGGGAGGCGTGAGAATTGGAAATGCAACAAGTTATCCCTCTTGTGAAACCCGGTGTGCCTGCTCGTACATGTCTGTGTGCTTTTTGATTACGTAGAGAAACCATAGGCCTTCAGTCAGGCAGAAGAGCCTGTGGAGTGGGGTGGACTGTGGGGCTTTACACAAGCCAACAGAAGGCAGGAAATCAGGAAATCGGCAGAGTAAAGAGACAATACCGCAGAGATTAGAGCTCAGTTACCCCCTCCTCTTTGTGGTTGACACGTTTGCTCGCAGACTACAACTTCCTTTGATAAGCACTCAATCACTGAACACCCACAAACCTTTTCACACTCTATTTTTCTCACCCTTCCCTTTATTGAAACACTTGCTTTTGTGCTGTTCTGATTCAGTTTTATATGATCAGAAAGAAAAGAAAAAACAAACAGCTTCTCTTTTGCACCCACTCTTTCAGGTGAAGGGTGCAGCCAAACAACCAGCAGGACTTCACCTGATGACTAAAAGGCAGACTCCTCAGACGGAACGATAAAATCACACTGACTTGCAAAAACCTCTGAAGTGGGATGAGTTCATCAATTAGAAACGACGAGATAAAATCTGAGCTTAGTTTTCCACCTGGATGTCTTTCTTTTGTACTCCGACCTCCCCCTGGTTTATCATTTACGCAAGGAGGACTTTCACCAGAAACACACCTGGAGAGCTTTCCACAGTGAAAGGAGTTTACGCAGAATGGATTAACAAAACGGATTTAATGTTCAAACTTACTAAAGCAGGTAAGAAACCATGTCTCAATGGTCTCTTTGCAGGTACAGAGGAGTGTCCTGGATGCAAAAGCTTTAATTTGAAAGGTTATTGATCAGTCACAAAGGAGTAGACTACTTGCACAAACTGTTTCACTGTTTCAAGGCTGAGTAATAAGGTTTGCCTTGTGACAGTTGACAAGCCCATTCATGTCAAGAAACAGTTTGCCTAAGAGTGCAGTTAAAAAAACAAGTGAGATTCCTGACAGACACGGCTGTACATGTGGGATTCTAATATTTTCTACTATTTATTACACAAAAACAGGTAAGTTTATGGCATTGATATTTATCTGTGTTATTGTCTAAGTAATACTAAACCAACAGCATTTAAACATACAAATGTTTTATTTTGAACCCGCAGGTAAGGGAAATGGTCCTTTTCAAAGACGTACAACTACCGCGAGTAGAAAGAAAATTGGGGATTTTTTTTTCTTGGCCAATCTGTTTTAATGACCTTCTTAGTTTTTACTTGGCCATGAAGTGTTTCCTGAACATTGAACTCGCGGCTAAATTACAAGACTCCTCCTTGGTTGACCTGACATGTTGGGAAAGGAATGCTGTTGTGTCCACACGCTGCAGTCTCCCGCTGCTACTAAAGTACCGATAAAACCTTTACGGGCCAAGAAAGCCTGTTTGCTAAAGTGGCTTACAAATTTACAGAGTTAGTGTTTCGAGTCACGAAACACAAATCTAATGTGGGCAACGCTGTTGGGTAAAATCAAAGATGGCCAGCAGATTATCTAATTGACATGCCTGAGCTGATGAATGGAGTTCTGTTTTTGTCAATAAAATCTTTACAAGTATTGGAACACAAAAGGTTTACTTTTTTTTAGAAAGTTTAACTTTCATTGAATAAGTTCTTGTGTCGTACCCTTTAAAATAAGATGTTTGGTTATTCAAAAATACATCTCTATTTTATGTAACCACCATACAATATTTTTAAACAATTATAAATTTGAAAAGTAATACTAAAAGTTACAAAACAATTAGATTTGATTTATTTTACTGACTTCCATATCCTGGGTCACTGCTTACAATAACTTAGATTTAACTGAATTAAGAGGAACATATGCTTTTAAAACCTTCTTTTTCATGTTTAAATCATTCAGCTGGGCTCTATATAAAGTGGAACTGCAATGCTTTGGTCTGAATTCCCCCTTATTGTAACTCCACAAGCCCCTCTTTCACCCCTTTTCTGAAATGGGTCTCAGATTAACTCGTTTTGAGGCTGTCTCTTGAAATCCAAACGAGATGCTTCAAATCCTACCCCCCTCCAGCTTCCAGACCGGTTCATTCTAGCTTAATAGAGGGGTTTATGGCTAAACAGCGGCACAGAAACTTTTTATTTACAAATACAAAGATATTTACGCAGCACCAGGAGATACTAAATTAAACTTTTCTGCACGCCTTCAGACTCCAAGTACATAAAAAATGTATTTAATGGCAAAAAAGTGGATTTTGCATAGGTCCTCTTTTAAAAAAAGCATTTTAGCTATTTGTACGTCTTTATGACGAATAAACACGTGTTCCATTTTGTTTTTGATAGTTACAAGTAAAAATTACACTCTTTCCTAAAAACTGAGTAATGAGATCCAACAAAGGACTTACAAGATAATTACCATTTGAGTATTTGCATTCTCTTGCTTTTGTTACTGGAAGTCTTAAGTAGATTAATAGACTTCCTCTTGAGGATATGAAGAAGACCACACCTGCATTTATGGGAAGAAACAAGGGTTTGGAAAATAAATATTTATAAATGAAGGCTTCAAAGCATTTGCTGGAACACTCCTCTCCTGTTAAAATKTTGCTGAATTTCATTAGAGTAAAATCCAGTCCAACAGGTGCAATCTCTAAACAATGACTGACAAATCTCATTAAAGCAACACGTACAGCCCATTGAAAACATCTGGTGTTAAACAACTGAACAAGTGCAAGCTCAGACTTGTTTCAAACAACCATTCATTATCCCATTCATGTCTATTTTTTTTTGTTGTTTTGTTTTGTTGCAGATGGCATTATGCCTTTGAGGTGCAACGTTTCCTAAGAATCCACTGTGGGAGCAGGAAGCACGCGGCAGAGTAAAACTCAACTAAATCTACCAAGATGCCACTAAGAACAACACTGCACAGAAAATCAAGCCGTTTGTCCAACAGGCACTCGAAGCGGAGGGAGGTGCTCTCCGTCAACATGATCAGTTTACCACACAATGATTTCCGCCACATCGCTCATATTGGAATTGATGTAAATAAAGACAGCTTTGGAGATTTATCCTTTCTAAAGCAGGGCCATAGCCTACTCCAACAAAGTTCCAAAAGTGAGCAGAACCTCTTCCTAGCCTGCTCGCCACCTCCAAAGCCTCCTCGCCTCAATCTGAATGAAAAAGAGGAATCGCGGAGCCCTGAGTGGTCTGTCGATCAGAAGAGGCAGAAATGTAACTCTTTGCCAATGCTGGACAGTGACGACGAAGAAGAGCTGAATAAGGAGGGGCACCACAACGGGAATAACGTCGCATCCAATCAGACTGATAGGCTTATTCGTGGCAGCGTGAATTCAGACACGTGTGAAGAATCTCCAGAGAGCTGTCACAAAACTACTGAACTAAAAGACGAGGACAGCGGTTTCTCGTTCAGCCTCGACCTGGGCCCTTCAATCCTGGACGATGTTCTCAAGGTGATGGACAAACAGCACAGCTGAAGAAACCATGAAACATGGCTCACAGGGAGATGTTTGGAATATCAAGAACAAATGAAACTCAAGCGCTTGTAAGGAGAAAAAAAACCCTGATCCTAAATTGAAATCATGAAACAAACATTATTATTCAGATATTTGTGTGATCTCTTAAAAAAATCAACACTTAGAACACTGTGGTCTTCAGCACATGTACTGTCAATTTTAAAGACTTTTTAAAATTTCTTTAACATTTCCCCTTTTCTATTATTGTATCTCAAACTGCACAACACTGAATAGGGTTGTTAGGAGTATTGTGTTTAGAAAAGCGAAGGCTGGAATCCAAGGTTTTGAGCTGTGATGTCTTGACTCTTCGCATGCTTGCCAATCTACTTTGTGCAGAAAGCAATTTCTACTCCGCACGCATGTCAGAGGCCCCACTGCAAGGTAGACCAAGGTACCCCCCATCACCCGTTCCCAACAGTACAATGAAAACAAACATTTAGCTCTGCTTCCAATAAAAAGCCAGCCAATGGTGGCAGGTTTGGCGGCACACCAAACCAGGCCACAGATCCAAGACCTTAAGAAGCAGCAAGGGAAAAAAAGGCAGATCAAGCTGTTTTCTTAGCTGCAAATAAGACTCCGATGCCCTGGTTAGCTGTGCACGAGAAAGAAAGTGGTAACAGGTAACATAATATTTCTATACTGTACATGCAGGGGGTGTCGAGGGATGAAGACTAGACACATCAATTACTGCAGCAGAGGTCCTGATGAGGGTTTAAACACTACCTTCTGGACAAACACGCGCCTGACACGAAAGACATGCATGCTACAACTCTCATACACCGGAACACGAGTACAGAAAAGGATGCATGCATGGGTATTTCTACCCACATCCTTAAACTGTGCCAGTAAAGCAAAGTCTATTTTTGATGAGACAGTGGCTCAGTTTGGACCTCTGTGGGGGGTTGACAAGATGGTATGTTGGCTAAATACACAGAAAATTTTGAATTCCTATGAGCCCAGAGGTTATGAACCAAAATGTACAAACCACAAGCGTCCTGCTTCGAGCAACAAATTTAGAATTCTCTGTATGTCCAAACAGAAGCAGCAATAAGTTTTGGGTACATCAGCCCTGCATGTCTGTTTTGGAGTCTGCCGTTGTAACTGTGATATTTCTGTTTCTTGTATATGTTTTGACAATAGCTATTGTGAAACATTTCTTGCATTGTAAAGTGAACCATTTTGTACTTTGGTTGAGAAACAAAAATTATGCATCATTTAAATTCCAACATTTGGTGGTTTTGTGGATAAAYGGCATGAGAATGTTTACAGACCCCAATGGATTTACATTTCCTTGGCTTTTTAGTGTCAGAAGCCAAAATGGTGGGACTAAGACTTGTAGGTTACTTATATCTACCAGTTTTCTCTTTATTTGTTCTTCAAAAAAGTTAGCCTTGTACAACAAACCTCTCAATATTTCAACATTGGGATAGATGTTTAAATTAATACAGGCAGATATAGCTAGGCCAAACTTCGCAGAGTCCAAAAAAACCAACAAAAATTGTTTATATGATTTTTACTGCTCCGAGGCACACCTGAAACACGATGACTAAAGTGTTATCAGTTAGAAGGAAATGCAAAAGACTTGTTCAGACAGATGTCAAACTGCACTGTGCTAATTAAAATAAMCTTTCATGATTAAACAACATTTTATTTACAAGTAAAGTTGTTTTGAAACACTAAAGGCTAAAACTTCAAATGTGCATTTTTTGTCTGCTTTTTCTTCTGAGTTTTAGCCTTTTACCACCTTCATCGCTATAAAAAACACTAGCAAGTGTTTTGACTCATCCATCAGGAGTCTGTAATTTATGACAAGTTATTATCTCTATGCTGCAAAACCTGTTTTAACTGTGAAGTATTCCAATTATATTTTGGCGCCACTACTCCCGCTTAAAAACTAAGCTTAAAAAATTACTTCAATTCTGATCCAAACAAAAACATCAAACATGATTTTAGTGAACATGGGACAAATCATTTATTTTTGGCTTTGTTTCTCAGAGAAATTTAACTCCACTTAACAAATTATGTTGAACTGATTGTTTATGCTGTCTGTATGATGGTTACAACAGAACAAAGACATCCGTTATTACATTTGACTAATAATAGTTTTGTACTTCTGTTAGGGTTATTGCAAAACAACTATTAGTTGCTTATATTTTAAACGTTGTGGAGTGGGAAAATCACTTGTGACTTTCTAAACAGTTCAGACTTGTATTTTTAAATGTGTAAATCAAAAYGTTAGAGGAAATGTGTCAAACTGAGCAGAACTCTGCAGACTACAGATTTCTAAGTAGGCTAAAATCCCTAAACTGTCCAGTAATCAAAGTAAAAAAAATGGTTTCAATCTTGTAACCCTCATGGAGCCCTATTCTTTTGAATTTCCACAATGTGCAGAATTTTATTTTAAAATAAAAATCATAAAACAAAGCTYGATGTGTGAATACCTGGTTGAGTTGAAATGCTATAAGATATCTTTATATCTCTTGTTTTGTAAAAGTGCTACAATTTAACATCAGATCACACTGTWTCTTTAAACCAGCTGGTCAGGCCCAACTATTTATTTAAACATTTTGAATGTACAACTACAAACTAATTCTTTTGAGCCTGGTTATTGCAAAATACAGACGGCAGCTTATCTTCCCCCAAGACGCCTATTATATGCAATCAGAATGGGATTTAGGCCCAGTTTGAATATGCCAACAGCATGACCACATGAAGAGCATCTCTCCCAGAAGCAAGAGATATTTCTGGTGAGAGAAGTTTTCACTGGGAAACCAGTGCTGTGGAAAAAACAATCCAAGAATAGCCAATCTGTAGCATCTGGTTGTGTCGTGACAACMCCGCCATGACTCTGGCTCTCACTAGAACAGTCAGTCATATGAAAACTCACATTTAAATTCCTTGCAATGCATTCACCTTAAATAATATGGAATGTTAAATTACACAGCAGGCCTTGAACACAGTGATTAATGATGAGATCATTTCTCAGAAAGCACCGACATCATGTGAGCAGGGATGAAGCAGACAGACACTGAGTTTACATCCGTGAGAGTTTTAGTTACAGACAGTCAATTATTAGTCAGTCTGTGGGATTCATCAAGTTGGCCACATGTGTGAAACCCTCGTTCGGAGGATGGACGTATTTACTGCTCCCAGAAAAAAACCGCTTACAGTAAATAATTCCAACTTAATTTTTTTTAATCTGACTTTGAAATTTAAAACAAATACTTTCAGACTCTAGTTTTTTTCTTGTTAATCTGAAGAGCTTTTCATTTCCCAGTCTTGCAACTTTCTTTTGATGGCAAGTTAAAACATGAAACTATACCCTTTCCCCAAAAAGGAATTTAACTTTTCCTAGTATACAGGTAATCATTTAAAAGTATACATATACGTGAGGTGTCTTCACTTTCCATTCATCTAGCCAACTAGGGATGTCCAGCCTTGGTCCTTGAAGGCTACTATTCTTCATGTTTTAAAGGTTTCTCTGCTTCAACACACCATATCTAAATAAACAGGTGATTAACAGGCTCATGCAGAACGCCATCAGTTTAGTAATTTATAGCACAAAGAAAAATGTTCAATTTGCTGTCAGTATAATGTCCACTAGCAGCTCAATTCAAGGCAGCATCCTTTCACTTTCATGGGGTTGAACAAGTTTTATTGCCATCTAGGGGTGGAGATCATGATCTGTTGGTGGAAAGATGTGAGGCCACCTGATGTTCAAGTCAGGGACTGAAGGATGACCTTGTATTGTACATGATGGTACATTATAGAAATAAAATACTGTTGGATATTTTGTGGTTGATTAACTGAATTTAATTCAGTTTATTTATATAGCGCCAAGTCACAACAAGCATTGTCTCAGGGCACTCTTCACACAAAAAGAAATAAAAATCTAAAGAAGGCAGAAGATGGTGTTGAATCTTCACTTCATCACTGTCTCCCATCTTGAGCAACAGTAGAAAGGAAAAACTCCCTTTGAGWGAATGGAATGTACWTTTAAATTACAAGATTAGTTAACACACAGCTTGTAACACAAAAATTATAAATCAACATTTAACTATTCTCTCATCAGAACTCAAGACTGTTGTACAGGGATCTGGTCATGTGATAGGAAGGCCCTCACAACTGATGTAACGTCTTGCCCCTGAGGTGTGGCCAGATCCGGAAGAAAATGGATAAAATGAATTGGTTGGTTTTGACTCRTGAGACTGAATAAAGGTCTGTATTTTGGTCCAGCCAGAGGAATTGTACAGCATTATACTTTACAATTAAATGTTCAAGTCTAATTCTGAATTTGTTTACCGGCTGGCTTGCTCCGAAGTGAAAAAACACATTTATCATACAATTAGATACAGTTGTATATTTTATACTTTGGGATCGATTGTAATCAATTACTTTAAAACAGTAAGAGAATCAACAAGGCTTTATTTAACATGTGTCTCAGTCCAGCAGTGTAAACACATTTTACATTTCAGAAACGTGGAACAGTTTTACGGGTACTTCCTTGTTTATTATGACATTATATTCAAGGTTTGTCCAGGTTTTTTAAAAATACTGTAATGACACATGATGGGTGCTGATCTGTCCCATCAGATGGACTGGACCACAGCACTGTGATAATCTTTACATGTGCGCAAAATAAACATTCAAGGATGAATAAYGGACCAATTTCCTGCGCCTGATTCGGTTTCTCATTGTACACAATTCATTTAAATATAACTAATGCAAAAATAAACATTTTTGGTGAGAATATTGACCTTCTATAAATGAATATACATAAATACAGTAATTCYGATATGCACCGTGGTAAGGAAATTCAGTTTTTAAGATATAGGCTTGAATTTTATTTACATTTGTGTTTCTGAAATTTTGCAACTATTTCACATAATATATTTTTTGTTTATACACTTAAGTCAACCTTGATTGTTCAGGCAATTTTTGTTAAAGGGGACAGTTGTTATTATCTTAAGGGGATGGAAATGTTTGTGAAGCCATATTTTCGTACTTGCTTGAGAGTAAGATGTACTTTAATCCAGGGTATAGGATTGTGGAATGGTCTGGAAGATTATCTTAAAAATGCTAGATCTATGTATATATTTAAGACACAGATAAAAGCTAGTTTGTTAAAGGTATATGGAAAAGTAAAATGAGAAGCTATATGAATTGTTTGAGTTGATGTTTTTATTTTTATTTAGTATTGTTTTGTAAATTATGTTTTGTTTGAATATTTTCTGGGGTTAAAAGGGGCAGACATTGTTAGATTTATTCTTTGGTTACCTTTCATTTTAATTTTGATTTTTTTTGTGTATTTTCTTTGTTATTTATTATATATAGTTATTTTTTAATTAAATGAATAATTGTTTTAATTTAATTGATTTTTTTAATTTAATAGAATTGTTAATAAATATTTCATATTTTCCTAATTGTATTCTGTAGCTACAGTGTCATTTAAAGACAAAGTGAACCAGTTATACTGCAAGTCTATTAGAAAACGGTACTGCTCCACACACTGATGAAATGTAAATTTGTTCTTAATTTAAGTACTATACATTAATACTTAGAATTTTGGGGAATTATGCATGTAAGTGTGTAAACTTTTCATATGAAGACTAAATTTAAAAAGTGCATATGCAGAAAAATATTCAAATTGATGTAACTGTGTGCATGCATGTTTCTGCTCAACCTTCTTTCATATTMTTTAATTTAGACGTAATAGAGCGCAGCTGCATGTGCCACTGGTACCCACCATATATATGTATGTACTATGTCCCATTAATAATCACATTCACATAAATACACAGCAGGCTTCCAAACTGTATCCAAATAACTATGGTATGTGTGTAGAGTAAGGGTGGAAAAAAGGGAAATTTATGCATATATTTTATGCATAAAGAACAAAAAAATATTTTTCACTTTAATCAAAAACGTTAATTTTGAGGGAGTCTGTATTATGGGAATGTTGCATTAGATCTAAATGCATTTATTGAGCCAAGCTACAACAGAACTAAAGCTGAAAGTGAAGTCATCTGTGTCTTTAAGCTCCCTATAGTCAGACCTGACCTTCTGAGCTCTGTGTTTGGRTTGATGAGGATTGGGAAGCAAATCCTCACCCACTCTGCTCCTCTGTGATTACAGATGGCCAATGCTGGGACACCAGGGAGAGATCAGATTTTTAGATCCCAGATAGAGTCAGAGCAGGAGGACCTCCGTATTTCTGGACTCTTATTACTACGTTTTGTCAGTAAAGGCATCCCGTATTCACTGATCGTAGGCCAGCTGTGGATCAACAGCATCATGTGGAACTTCTTTTTATGACAAGTATTTGCATTTTGAGCCAATTTTACAAATGRCCTAACCAAAGTAAGGTTTTCATTTCTTGTTGCGGGAGAAAAGAAAATTTAAAAAAGGATGAAGCAATCAGCTACGAATATCAGTAAAGCAAACCGAGTTACCATAATAACATTAAAAAAGATTAGTATGCCAAGCCCCAGTGTGCAGGCTCAGTCTCAGATTATAACCCAGAGTAGGAGGTCTGACAACCACACACTGGGATCAGAGTTGAAACACAGTTCAGCTGCGACTCTGGAGACACAGATGAGTAAAAAAAGAAAATCCACTTGTGAGCAAAATTTTTTTGTTACTGGAAAAGGTTTTAAAAAGGTAAGAAATTTGGACAGATGTGGAGTGAACAAAATTGTTGAAATCTTAACCTAAAAATAAAATTTAAAAGATTTCTGGGATGCAGATTTTTTTTTATTTTTTAATTTCACTATTGGACATTATAAGGACTTTGGAGCCATTCATTAAAAAGAGAAAAATAAATTAAAACACAATAGAAAAAAATAACAGTTTGTTCTTTAAGTTTTGCAGTTTTCTGCAGCAAACCTTGATTAATGGYGAAGTAAAATCTTCAAACTCACTATTTCTAATTAAACTGGTTTCAAAATACTCTGTTATATAAATCTAAAAAAGGGAAATAGCTAAAATAACGAAGGTACATAGAATAACATCTTAAAAYAATATTTCATCAAAAAAAATAACACTACAGACACGCCCCATTCTTCAGAACCAGAACTGACATTTAATCAGTCTCACGTGCAACGCAACCAACTGCACTGCCTCTCCTTGGCTGCTACATAAGAAGAGCATTCCTCGGGTCTCCCAGGTCATTTCCATTAATGAGCGGCCGACCAGAGGCTCTGGGCCAGCGTGGGGCCACTGCCTCACCGCTCCAATACAAATAAACTGAGGTCCGCTAACCAAGCACACTCTTCAGGGCCAAAAGAAAAGGACTGCAAACATTTTGAGGCACACACAAAAAAAATAAAAAGCTCTGAACATTTGCATACCTCTTCTTTAGAGCGTTGAAGAGAGAAGAAATTGGAAGGTTTTGTAACAGAGTTTTTACGAGAACAAGAGGGAATCATAAGTGCAATGCATGTATTGATCCCTATTGGGTCTTAAATGCATTTCATAGACATACTTGAGATGGTTAGAATATTTTAAAATCAACGTGCAATCAGTTTATTTGTATAGTGTGATTAAGTTGTAAGAACAACAAGTGCTGAGGGATTATGTAGTTACACGCCTTGCACAGATACAACACAGTCAGACAGTGTTTCTACATCTGAGACTTCAGTATTTTGATTGAGAACTGCCTCACCAGTTAGGTGAGATCAAGTCCCCTCCTTCGACGATGTCATTCCAAGAAGGTGTGACTCTGTTCTGAAGACACTAGCTACGTTTACATGGACAAAAGTAATCGGATTAAACGGCCGTTCGGAATAAAAATGCATCATGTAAACAGCCCATTCAGATTATTCTGATCGGATTGAGCTCGATCCGAATGAAATTTTATTCCGAATGCGAGGGGTGGGTTATGCCGATTGATAATCGGAATGACGTGCATGTAAACACTTAATTAGATCATCTTATTCTGATTGTGGAAAACTGACCTGATTGCGCATGTCTTCTGACTTTTATCCACCGGGTTCTGCTCTTTAGAGGAGGCGGGGCAGCAGCGCTGTAGTTTCTAGCTGCACTGCGCCACGCAGAACTTTTCCTCCTCGCTCTCTCAACAGATAAAAAAGGAGACAAACAGCAGACGTTGCTTCGCCAAAAATAAAAATAAAAAACACGTGTTGCTTCGTCTGCAGCTCAACCGGGAAGTAACGGCATCTCTACAGTTATTAAAAGCTTACACRGGTCCATCCTGAGCGCACAGAAGAGCTTTGTTTACGTTTGTAAAAGGGAAGGAGAGCTGAAAGTTTACAACACTRCGCATGTCTGGACTTTTATTCTGAATAAAAGTCTGGTGCATGTAAACACTTCTCATGATCGGACTGTGTCCATGTAAACAGTACATTCGGATTATTTAATCCGAATACATTTCAATCAGATCAAAACATTTTGTGCATGTAAACATAGCTATCGTTATTTGCTCCTGTTTTTTATGGCTCAGGACCAATTGGATGACTCGATGTCCTGAGTACTTAGCCCAGGCCTGAGGTCGTGGTAAACACTGCATCTGCAAATAAACACTCAAGTCTAACTGAATAAATTTCTTCTATGTATAAATCAGGCTCGTACTATGAATAATTTTGCTTTTCCTTCATAAGCATACATTGTCGTGTTATATACGTACCTGTGCAGACATGAAATGGCCAGATTGAGAGGCTGCAGCGACAACTTCAGGCTGTCCTTCAAGCCACGAAATCTTCAATGGGTTACCGCTCAGGCCACTTTCATTTATAGCAGCCAGCTCCTAAAAAAACAAGATTAAAAATAATTTAGCTGGCAGTGTGTTAYGTAGGCAAATAAACCTTTCTCCTTCAAAAGTTGTAATTTACTCATCTTCTACATGACTTTTGGCACAGCTGAAATGAAGATGGACAAAAGAGAACTGACATCCGAAGCATGTTGACCTAAAAAATGAGTTCCAAACTCAAAACTCATACTTCCCAACCAAATCCAAATGTTAGCCTATCTGATCAGGAAACACAAAAACCCCTCTGGCTGGATGACAAGAGCATAAAAGCAGTCCCGCATTTAAAAGGCTTCTGTTTGAAACAGATAAGAAAAGACAGAATCCGTACCCAGATTCCAATAGGTTGGCATATACTGTATATCATGTCACGTTGAGAGAAACCATTAAAAAAATTTAAAATGACCCCGACGGTTCAGACAGTTGTGAACATTTACTGAAATTCTTCAGATCAAATCAGCACAGAGATCTTTATGGCAAAGAATGGTTAAAGCATTTGTTTATGTTTAAAAGCCTTTCCTCAGGCTCAGATGTCTTAGTAAGAATGGGTCATTGAGACAATTGGCAAGCCTAAGTGGTTCTGTCCAAACGTCTCTTTTAGAGATTTTACTACTCAACAACCACAACGAGGACAGAAAATGGGAAAGGCTCAAATACTTACAGCTGCTCTGATAGATGTAAACTCCACCACAGCACTTCCTCTCTTCTTAYTCGATACAATCACGTTCAAAACCTCGCCGTACTAAAAGTCAAAGGAGAGGGAAAAAAAATGTTTAGTGAAAGAAAAGGAAAGATGCAGAATGTTCAAATTAGTATTTCCTTTCAGAGTATAATCCATAACCATGAAAACAGAAAGCACATGTCGACTACACGAATCAAAGCACTGGTGAGCAAATCAGGAATACAAGTTAGGAATTAATAGGAGTTTAGTTACAAGAAATAATGTTAGGGGTTTTTGTATGTTTGGACTTGAATTAGAAATATTACAAGAAACAGTCAAGTGGCATCTTGTAGAAGTCTGCGATCTTGTTGACGACTCAAAGTTCAGAAAGCATAAAACTGAATGCACAGATTGCACTTCGTACAGGGAAGGCTGTACGACAGCAGGGCAAGAAAAGCGTTGGCTTTCTTTATGGTTAGTTAATGTGTAATAACAATAAAAAGGAGCTCTTCCAAGCAAAAGACTATCTCAGAAGTAAAGAGTAGGAGAGATGTGGTCGTTAAGAAAATTTCAGCTTTCTGGGAACTGGAAAGTCCTGGAATGCTAAAGCTCACTGAGGACACTCTGAATCGAGCCAACAGTGACAAAGGAGACTCTCCGAAGGCTTCTATTTCATAAAATATAAATATCTTAACATATTTTTACCCACCGAAACAAAGATTTATTATTCTAAGCTGCCAAAAAATACAAGTCAGCTCACGTACGCATACATGTAGACATTTTCCCAGAGAGTAGAGGCTATTTCTACTTGTCCAACCCAGTATCTGTCACTCACTGACGCCTAACATCTCAAACTGTTTTAAAATGAAGTGAAGTTTCTGGGTGTCACCATTGATGAAAAACTGACATGGAAAAATCATAAATAATTTACGAACAAAAATAGTCAAATCTATTGGAGTCCTGTACAAAGTAAGAGAACTGTTCAATGATAAAGCACTGTTTATGTTGTATAATGCTATAATTGTTCCGCATTTTATTTACTGTATTGAAGTCTGGGGTAAAGCTTGTAAAACTACCAAAAATCCTATTTTTATTTTAAAGAAAAGAGCTCTAAGATTTATCACAAAAAAAAATTACAGCCATCCATCGAATATATTGTTTTATGAATTGAAATTATTGAAATTCTATGATTTGGTCAATTATATTTTGCTGTTAATGTACAGAGCTCATAAAGGTGTGTTACCTTCCAACATTCAAGTAAATTTTGTTAAAAGAGAGCGCTGTTATTATCTTAAGGGAATCGAAGTGTTTGTGAAACCCTGGTTTCGTACGAGACTGAAGGAGCGATCCACTTTAATCCAGGGAATAAGATTGTGGAACGGTCTGGAAGATGAGAATGATAATGATTTTGTTTTTTGTGTGTTAGTTGTTTTGATTTTTGTTGTAATTTACTTTCATTTTGAACATATTCTGGGGATTAAAAAGGGGCAGATATAAGATTTATTCTTCTGCTGCTGCTTTTCATTTTATTTGATTTTATTTTGATTGCATTTTTTTGTTCTTTGTTGTGTATATAATTGTTACAAATGAAATGAATAAACTTCTAAATAAATAAAATGAATAAAAAATGCATCCCCCTTGCTAACGAACATTCAGGAAGAACAGTTTTTACTCCCTGCTGCCTGGGACCATCCTGAATGCATGCGTGCAGAGGAGAAACTCAAGTGCGTTTTGTTTCGGCCAGCTTGACGTCACTGACACTTTACCCATCCTTGTTTCAAGCCAAACTGCGCCCCACCAAAAGCCCTTATGACAGTCTCGCAGCGGAAGGTGGTGCCGGGTTGCATGAGAAGAGCACATTTCCCTAACGCCTCCCTTGGCACTGCCTAATCACCTTGTAAGAGAGGCACAAACATCGCTGTGCCTGGCTTTTAAAGGGCACAACACAACATCGCCTTGAGCACTTTCACTGCTACAAAATTTAATGGGCCTTGTTTAAGGAGAAAGTGTAAACACTCTACAGCGCTGATGTCATTCAGGCTTCAAATATGGCTGAACCCTGCAGTCAGGTTTGTTATAATGAACTTCTGCCCTTGGACAAAAAAAAAAGAAAAAACATTTCAGAAATTCTTTAGAATTAACAAATTGTTACTTTACGATACACCCAGCTGTTGAATAAATTATAAGCCTTAAAGCGCTGTGAAATAAGAGTTAATTCTCAGGATACTTACCTTACTAAATAGTTTAAAAAGAACATCTTGGGAGTAACCTCCGTTCCTCTCGTCGTCTTTTTTACACTTCCATTTTAACTGGAAGAGAAGGAAGACAAAGAGGAGATGCCGATATTAGTCATGAGGACTTCTAAGAATTAAAGAAGTGCATGATAATGTCTAATCCTTAAAGCACAATTGATTAAACTCAGCTGCACAGGAGGCAAATCATGCCAAACAGGCTTGGCTCTGATGAAAAACAGAGCAACTGAAAACAATCAGGACAGGCTGCAGCTAGAAGAGAAAAGAACTTGTTACGTTCTTGGAACATCCCCACGTAACCACCTGTAAGACCTGCAGTCAATTTCCATTCAGTCCTTTGGTGCTGGGCAAATGGGTGAACTTTCTCACATGCATCCGAAAACGCAGTGACTCATCTGCTTACGTATAACCCATCAGGAAAAAAAAGAGCAACATTAGAAAAATAAATCAGAGGGTAATCCAAGGCAGACTGGTGCTGAATGTTCTCCATCATGAGCAAAAACAGAGGGATGCCTCTTTTCTAATCATGTTTTATTACAACAATCAGGTTTTTGCATGACTTTATTCTTAAGTCTTCTACAACAAAACTACTTTTGGTATGAATTAATCTTTTTTTTTTTTTTTTGCTCCCCGTTCTGTCATTAAATGCTCATGTGATTTCCCGTACTCCCAAAATGAGAGATTGCGTAACTCCTCACATCCACAGACAGACCACAGCAGAAACGAGCCAATTTTTACAGCAACGACTGAGATTAGTACAATGAATGGCAAGAACAGGGTGTTGATTCGGCTCCAGCGATCTGCTCATTGTCAGACAAACACATTTTTCTGGGAACTTTCAAGTGTTCTTTTAAGAAAAAGATTGCTGTTAAAAACGTGAGTTCTCCTTCCAGCAGCAGTTTCTTCTACCACTGATAATCATCTTACTCGTTAATCCTCAAAAAACGTCTTTAAATATTGTGTGATGTGATGTCTAGAGTATGAGCGCACAGCGCTGCAGTGTTCGATCAAACTTAAACAAACTTACAAATAAAGGCATGAGTAGAAACAGACAAAATGGCATGTGACTAAAAATACCAAAGTTTGAATGTCATTTACAATCATTTTAAAAATTGTATAATTTTTGTTGAAAATTTCAAGACTAAGTTCCCAAAAATGAAAGGCCTAACAGTTAAATAATTTATTTGGTCATTTTTATTATCATCAGTTGCAAATACATAGACATTAATGTCATGATGTACAGGGGGGTACTCCGGGAGTATGGGGTACCAGGCCCATTGATATGGGCTGTTAGGTCCCTGTATAACCGGTGCCAGAGCTTGGTCCACATTGCCGGCAGTAAGTTGGACTCATTTTCGCTGAGAGTTGGACTCTGCCAAGGTTGCCCTTTATCACTGATTCTGTACATAACTTTTATGGACAGAATTTCTAGGCGCAGCCGAGGTGTTGAGGGGATCATTTTTGGTGACCTTAGGATCACATCTCTGCTTTTTGCGGATGATGTGGTCCTATTGGCTTCATCAGATCGTGATCTCCAGCTCTCACTGAAGCAGTTCACAGCCAAGTGTGAAGTAGCCAGGATGAGGATCAGTGCCTCCAAATCTGAGACCATGGTCTTGAGCCGGAAAACGGTAGGTTGTCTTCTCCGGGTTGGGGAGGAGGTCCTGCCCCAAGTGGAGGAGTTTAAGTATCTCGGGGTCTTGTTCATGAATGAGGTAAGAATGGAGCGGGAGATCGACAGGCGGATTGGTGCTGCGTCTGAAGTGATGCGGGTGCTGTACCGGTCGGTCTTTGTTCCAACCCTCATCTGTCACAAACTTTGGGTAGTGACCAAAAAACAAAATTGCAGATACAAGCGGCCAAATTGAGTTTCCTCTGCAGGGTGTTTGGGCTCTCCCTTAGAGATATGGTGAGAAGTTCAGTCATCCGGGAGGGACGCAGAGTACAGCCGCTGCTCCTCCACGTCGAGAGGAGCCAGTTGAGGTGATTCATCTGGTTAGGATGCCTCCTGGACGCCTCCTTGGTGAAGTGTTCTGAGCACATCCCACTGGGAGGAGGCCCAGAGGAAGACCCAGGACACGCTGGAGGGACTATGTTTCTCAGCTGGCCTGGGAACACCTTGGGATTCCCCTAGACGAGCTGGCCCAAGTGGCTAGAGAGAGGGAAGTCTGGGTCTCTCTACTTAGGCTGGTGCCCCCGCGACCCGACCCCGGATAAGCAGAGGAAAACGGACGGATGGATGGTGTACAGGGGTGTCAAACTCAAGAGGGCCAAAATTCTAAACATGGCCCAAGCCAAGGGCCAATCTCTGTCAGTATTTATTGAAGAAATATTGGTTTTAAATGTTAAGTTATGTTTATAAAAATACAAATTCCTTTTTCCAAAGCATTTTATGTAAAGTTTAAAACACACATACCCTAACAAATAAAAATATTACATTTAGAAATATGCATGATTAGCCTTTATTTCTTGGGTTTTTATACTCTCCTCAACTATTTTATTGACTATTTCTTAGTTATCACAATACAGAAAATCAGTTAAAAAACACATTAAAAATCCAATTATTTAATTTTAAAAATAGAAGAGAAAACATATTTAAAGTCGACTTTTGTAGAGAACAAACTGCTCTAAGCAGTGATAGGCCTTTCATAATAACACATTTTGCTGGACGATAAATTGTCTCAGAAATTATTGCGATAAACAATAATATTGTCTGGAGACCATCTTAAACTAATATAATGATACCACACACACACACACACACACACACACACACACACACACACACACACACACACACA